TAGTTCTGAGGACCTGAGTGTAGCAGAGATGTCCCTACACTGTTGTCTTCTCCCCATAAGGGATCACTCAGGGCCAGGAATCTGAGGGAGACGTCCCCACCTTCCTGAACAATTCTCGTAGTCTCCGGTGTTTGGTGGGACGGCCCGGGACACTGAGCCGCCCTTCCGATCATCTCTACAGCAGCGGCTAGGGTTTGGGTGATCAGAAGCCCTGTTCACAAGCTTGGGCTCTGCCCAGGACTAAAATCAGACCTCTGGCTTTCAATCTCAAACTTGCCCTTTGGCAGGCCAGCTCCCGCCTAGGTGTATTTGGTAACTCTCTCTCTCTCTTTCTCTCTCTCTCTTTCTATTTCTGAGTGAGTGTGTGGGTGAGTGAGTTTATGTGTAGTCCCACAGCTTAACGGCTACGGGGCTTGTGTGGGCCTTCACCTGGGGTTCCACGGGGATGTCATAAGGCATAATGGTGATTCACCTCAGGACCAGCATTTCTGAGGTGACCAGGCCTGGGGGTTATACGGGTACACCTTAGCCAAGACGCTCCTGAAACATCTCTTTGGGGACGTGGCCAGGAAGGCATCAGACTGGTCTCCCATCTGGGGGGCACCCATCCTTTGTCTGTCAATCCTATATGTGGTCTTGTCTCTACTGTAGATTTGCCAGCTTTGTTAGGCTCTTATTAGCTGATATACAGTGGTTTAGGCCTGCTTTCCTTAAGGTAACAGATATTCTGCAGTGGGTAACAAACCACTGGCTTCAGGAAATCTTCATTAAGTTTCTGCCTCTAAAAATAACTCTGTCCTCCTTTTTCCTTCTACTCTTCTTCTACCACTGAAATCCCACTTCCCAGTTCTGCTCCTTTCACTTTCTCTAATTCTGCCATGTGGCAAATTTCTCTAGCCCTGTGCCTCTTTATTTTCTTTCTCATTGTTGTCATTGCAGCCTGTGGGTTCTCTTAGCCACCCTCTCCAGGAAAAGAGCTTTTCCTCCTGTGTTGGGTGTAATTTCTTTCTGTGTCCACTTCTCGCCCTTAGGCCACTGAAAAAGATAAAATATGGTTAATCAGAAATCCCACCCAGACCCCAAGTCACCACTAGGATGCCTAGTTCAAAATCTACCCAAACTGGGTCTTTCTATAAAAAAGAAAAGGTTACTCTTCCTCTCCTCTGTAGCTTGGCCACAGTATCCTCTAGACAACCGGTCCAGGTGGCCTCCTAGGGACACTCTCGACTTTAATGTTTTAACAGATTTAGACAACTTTTGCCAGAAGAATGGCAAGTGGGCGGAGGTTCCCTATATTCAAGCTTTCTGGCATCTCCGTTCCCACCCCGGCCTCTGCTCGTCCTGTAGCACTGCCCAAGTACTCCTGGCCAAAAACGTCCCTGCACCACCCTCGGCCCCTTTGCCAACCTCCTCTTCTTCTTTTTTCAACACCAATCTGCCTGAGGAACTCTCCCTACCCCCCACTTGACCCTCTAATCCCCCGCCATACCCGGACCCCAATGCCCTCCTGCTCCTCCTCCTCCAAGTTCTGACATGTCCTCTCCTGTTAGTGCTCACACTCACTCACGCAGCACTGCTAGCGACGAAAACTCCCTCCTTTGTCCTCTCCGCAAGGTAGCCAGAGCAGAGGGTGTGGTCCGAGTGCACGTTCCTTTCTCCCTTACTGATCTGTCCACCATTGAAAAATGCTTAGGGTCACTCTCTGCCAATCCTACTGCTTACATCAAGGAATTTCGTTATCTCACTCAGGCATATGACCTTACCTGGCATGACACTTATGTAATCCTGTCCTCTACCCTTACTCCTGATGAGCATAACTGCATCCTTGTGGCAGCCAGGGCACACGCTGATCAGGTACATCTCACTGATCCTCAGATGTCAGTGGGTGCAGTGATGGTCCCTAAGGCTGATCCTAACTGGGACTATCAAACTGGCCAAAATGGCCACCGCCGCCGAGACCAGATGCTGCAGTCCCTCCTAGCGGGTATGGAAAATGCAGCCCAAAAGGTAGTTAATTATGATAAACTGTGGGAAATAACCCTGGGTCCTACCGAAAATCCAGCTGCTTTCCTAGACAGACTAACTAAGGCTATGGTCTTTCATACCTGAGTAGATGCAGACTCTTTAGCTGGGGCTACCCTCTAACAGCCCATTTTATCTCCCAGTCAACACCAGATATTATGAAAAAACTAAAGAAGGCAGAGGAAGGCCCCCAAACTCCCATATGAGACCTGGTAAACCTGGCATTTAAAGTCTTTAATGGCCAAGAGGAAAAGGCTGAGACCACCTGCCAGGCCCATTTATAGCAACAGGTAAGCCTCCAAACCCAAGCTCTTGTAAAGGCTGGTACAAAGGGCCTATCAAAGCCCCTCCAAGAGGGTCCCTTAGGACCCTCTGGACCAGCCCATACTGCTTCAAAGGTCCCTCCCAGGCCCTGTTTCAAATGTGGCCAGGAGGGACACTGGGCCTGACAGTGCCCCTGTCTGCGTCCGGCCCCTGGACCCTGCCCTGCCTGCAAACAGATCAGACATTGGAAGGTAGACTGCCCGTTCCGGACTACAGGCTCACCCCCCACACCTCCATGTGAGGGGCAAGCCAGTCCAAAGGATGCAGTCCCTTCATTTGAACTCCTCAGCCTCCTCAGACTAATGTGGCCAGGACTTGGAGAGCCCTATCACCCTTGCCAAGCCCAAAGTAACGCTGCAAGTAGTGGGTAAGTCCATTTACTTCTTGGTAAATACGGGGGATACCTGTTCTGTATTGCCTTCCTACTCAGGACCTAGCATACCTTCCCAGGTGTCAGTTATGGGAATTAATGGAAAGCCCTCCTGCCCCAACCAGATTCCTTCCTTAGCCTGTAACCTCGAGGGGCACCCATTCTCTCACTCCTTCACCCCTCTCCCATCCAGGGATTGTAAAACAAGCTTTTAAAACCCTACAAACTGCCTTGTTCACGGCACCCCCACTTCAATTGCCAAATCTTAACTGCCCCTTCCACTTATTCACTAATAAAAAACAAACAAAAAATAAAATAAAATGAAATAACGGTCAGGGTCTTAACCCAACCTCTGGACTCCACATATCTTCCTGTGGCCTATTTGTCCAAACTGTTTAACCCCACAATCAGGGGGTGACAGCCTTGCCTGCAAGCCCTAAAAGCAACAACACAGTTAACCAAAAAAGCCCAAAAAATTACCTTACGCCAGTCCATTTCAGTGTTCTCACCTCATTGGCTAACCGACCTTTTCTCACACAAATCTCTCACTCACCTATGACCCTCTCGTCTACAAAAGTTTCATCTACTCTTTATTAAAAATCCTTCAGTCAGCCTCCATCCTACTTCCCCACTCAACCTGGCTGCTCTGCTTCCTCTTCTGCTCCACTCTCCCTCCCTAGCCCATTCCTGTCCTAAACTCATAAATACACTTACTAAACCTCGGGAGGGCTTAACTAATCTTCCTCCCAATAATGGTCAGCCTCTCCCTAACTTCCTCTCTACCAGCCGTAAGAGTAGGGAGTGGTGCTCTAAGTTACAGGGTCACTTCGGCCTCTCAACTGGAAGACAAACTCCGGGTAGCCATTAAAGCATCAGCCGCCTCTCTGGCATCCCTCCAACAACAAATCATGTCACTGGCTCAAGTAACTCTCCAAAATTGGCAGGCCCTAAATTTGTTAACACCAAAAAAGGGAGGTACCTGCTTATTTCTCCAAAAACAATGTTGTTATTACATTAATAAAACTGGTCTAGGGGAGAAAAATGTCAACACTCTCTATCGTCTTCAAGAAGATCTCCAAAGAAGACAAAGTGTACCAGCCTCTTCTCTTAACTGGTGGCAGTCCCCCATACTTGCCTGGCTAACCCCTATCATCACTCTCATTATCGTAATTTGTCTTTTGCTGATGCTAGCCCCTTTCTTTCTCAGGTTTTTACAAGCTCGCATAAAGGAAATTTCCAGGGTAGCTGTAAATCAAATGCTGCTTCACCCCTACATCTGACTCACAACCGAGGCACCAGCCAACTGACCCCCCCCCCACTCCGCCCCTGTTCAGCAGGAAGTAGCCAGAAAGAAGCGGCATCCTATATCATACAAAAGGTCGGAATGTAAGGCCAGCTGCCTCGCAGAGGGTTAAACGGACACATCCATCTCTCTCCGCATCTGATAACCACTTAATCACCCGAGCTCGTTATCTGGCCTTGCCGCACGGCTTCTCCGCACCCGTCTCCGCATACCAGACCCAAGCCCACATTCAGCACTAAATTATGCATTTAACCCCCAGCCCACTGTTGATAAACCCTGCAGGAAAAATTTTTTAAAGAAGCCCCATCAGACCCTTCCCGGTAGCAGTCTGCTCTGTATGCCCCTGGAAGGCCCACCTACCCAAAACCACTAGCTCCAGGCATTTCCTGCTTCTTAATAGCCAATAAGATTGCTTTCACTTTGTTTCCCCAACAGTCAATCAAGGCCCAAGGTCCCCCCTGCCTACCCATGACCACCAGCTCCAGGCATTTCCTTCTTCTTAATAGCCAATAAGATTGCCTTCACTTTGTTTCCCCAACAGCCAATCAAGGCCCACTTACCCAAAGTTCCACCTGCCTACTAATGGCAACTAGTTTCAGGTACTTCCCGCTTCCTAACAGCAAATAAAATTGCCTTTGCTTTGTTTCCCCAACAGCCAATCAATTTCCTTCTCTCCCCATAAAACCCCATGACCTAAACAGCTGGGTGTGACATCTTTAGCCCCTTCCTGGACCACAGAACCTTGCCCGGGAGCTGAATAAATTAACTTCTCATTTTCTTATACTTGCCTCAGTTTCCTCATTTTACCTCAGCAATAAACCTTACAAGTACCAAATGACGAAAATTTTTTATTTGACTAAATCTATTCATGTATGAGCAATGACAGTCTCCCCTGTTTATTTAACTTTGGCAATAAAAAAAACAAGCAGCCTTGTACAGAACAGTGAAAATGCCAAGGACGAGGGCAGTCTACAGTTTCACTAAAGGCCTCTCTCCTTTTGGCCATATCAACTCTCAGTTCAGGCCATTAAATACAAATTTTCAAATTCACTTCTCCAAGATCTTCGATGCTGCCAACATCTACCTCTGGCCATTTTTCCTGAATTACATCAATTATGTCACCTATAAAGTCTCCCTGAATGATAATCTCATCCTCCCCTCTTACTGAGGCACCACAGGAGAATTTCTGAGCAAAAAATCTTTGTGCTTCTTTAAGATCAATTTCAAAAGTTGCAAGGCCACACACTGTTGTCACATATTTATTTTTTGCTCTGGGAGTTTTGGCTATAGTAACCTTTTGTGGTATAGTCTTCTTTTTTTGTTTTATTTGACCCCTTCCACCTCTCTTCTGTTTTTTCTTCTCTTCTTCTTCCCCTGCTGTTCCTTGACCCTCACTAGTTCCAGTTTCTTGTTTGGGTGAATTTTCTACAGTAAGTTTTGCAAATTCGTTTGGAAAATTCTTCTCTAACCATTGTCTACATTTAGCAACATCAGGTATATATTCACAGTACTCTGTTGGTAATGAACAGACTCCACAATAAAGGACTTGAAGTGGGTAATCGGCATCTAACTTGGCACTGTTCCTTGGGTCTCCTTTGCAATCAGCTGGGCTGGATTCAGAAATGTCAGCAGCCATTTCACAAATCCAGGCTGCCACACAGGCCCCGCCGGCTCCGCTCCTGCCTCGATAGCCAGCTGAAGCGACACATGCAACTCGCCTCCCCTAGCCAGGGCCGCCCGAGCCTATTTTTTGATATACCTATTTTCTTAGATGCACATTAAACCTTTTTTCATATACCTATTGATCATGTGTCTTCTTTTGAAAAATGTCTATTTATGTCTCTTGTGCCCCCCTTTTTTTTGAGATAGAGTCTTGTTCTGTCACCCAGGTTGGAATGCAGTGGTGTGATCTCTGCTAACTGCAACCTCCACCTCCCAGGTTCAAGCAATTTTCTGCCTCAGCCTCCTGAGTAGCTGGGATTATAGGTGCCCACCACCACATACGGCTAATTTTTTCATTTTTAGTAGAGATGGGGTTTCACCCTCTTGACCAGGCTAGTCTTGAACTCCTCATCTTGTGATCTACCCGCTTTGGCCTTCCAAAGTGCTGGGATTACAGGCATGAGCCACTGCACCCAGCCTTACCCACTTTTTAATGAGTTTACTTGTTTTTGTCCTGTTGTGTGAGTTTCCAGTATATTCTCATCATTAGTCTCCTGTTGGATAAATTGTTTGCAAATACTTTATTCAACAGGCTGTCTCTTCACTATGTTGATTATTTCTTTCGCTGTGCATCAGTCTTTTAATTTAATTAAGTTCCATTTGTCTATATTTGTTTTTGTTGCCCGAGCTTTTGAGATCTTACTCATACATTCTTTGCCTAGACAAATGTTCAGTAGCTTTTTCCCCTAGGCTTTCTTCTAGTATATTCATAGTTTCAGATCTTATGTTTAGTCTTTAAAAATCTCTAATCAATTTTGAGTCGATTTTTGTATATGGTGAAAGGTAAGAATTCACTTTCTTTTTTTTTTTTTTTTTTTTTTT